TCTTGTCTCCTTCCCCATTGGACAGTGGTCACGACGGATGCCAGCCTGTCCGGTTGGGAGGGTGGAGTTCTGGATTATTGGTTGGTCCAGGGCCATTGGATTCTGGAAATGTCCCAAGCTACCTATCACTATCCTAAAGTTACAGGTGATCAGACATTGTCTGACTCGTTGGACGAAGTTTCTTTAATTATTATTATACAGGATTTATATAGCGCCAACGGTTTGCTCAGCGCTTTACATTAGAGTGGGTGACAATACAGTAACAATACAGTTCAATACAAGAGGGAATTGAGGGCCCTGCTCATTGGAGCTTACAATCTAGGAGGGAGGGGTGAGTGGTACAATAGGTAAAACTGTGGGGGATGGAGTGGTTGGAAGCATAGCGGATTCCAGTATTAGCAGAGGGCGGGATAGGCTTCCCTGAAGAGATAGGTTTTTAATGATCGCCTAAAGGTAAGTAGGTGATAGTCTGATAGATTGGGGTAGGGAGTTCCAGAGGATGGGTGACGCCCTGGAGAGGTCTTGGAGACAAGCATGGGAGGAGGAGATAAGGGAGCTAGAGAGTAGGAGCGGATTGTATGGTTTGGGTGATATTTAGAGATAAGATCGGATATGTAAATTGGGGCAGTGTTGTGGGTGGCTTTGTATGTCATAGTTAGTGTTTTGAATTTTATCCGTTGGGCAACTGGGAGCCAGTGGAGGGATTGGCAGAGAGGGGTGGCAGATACAGAGCGGTTAGTGAGGTGGATGAGTCTGGCAGCAGCGTTCATGATAGACCGAAGGGGGGAAAGCCTGCAATGAGGTAGGCCAATGAGGAGGGAGTTACAGTAGTCGAGGCGTGATATGACAAGGGAGTGAATAAGTTGCTTAGTGGTTTCCGGGGTTAGGAATGGTCGTATCTTGGAGATGTTGCAGCGGTGAAGTCTATATGATTTTGTCAGCGATTGGATCTGGGGCTGGAAGGACAGATGGGAGTCTAAGATTACACCTAGTACCCTGGCATGAGGGGATGGACTAATGATTGTGTTATCGATATTTATGGTGAAGTCAGTGGAGGTGGCCCGGGCAGGGGGGAATACTAGGAGCTCAGTTTTGGAAAGGTTGAGTTTGAGGAAGTGGAGTGACATCCAAGCCGATATGTCACTTAGTAGGCTAGCAATGCAGATGGAGGCTGAAGGGGTGAGGTGAGGGGTAGACAGATTTGCGCGTCATTAGCATAGAGATGGTAATTGAAGCTGTGGGAGTTTATCAAGTGACCAAGCGAGGAGGTGTAGATGGAGTTGAGAAGGTGTCCAAGGACAGAACCTTGAGGGTCCCCTACAGAGAGAGGGAGTGAAGAGGAGGTGGCAGCGTTATAGGTAACACTGAAGGAGCGCTGCGATAGATAGGAGGAGAACCAGGAGAGAACGGAGTCTCTGATGCCAAGAGAGTGTAGTTTTTTGAGGAGGAGGGGTTGGTCAACCATGTCAAAAGCCGTGGAGAGGTCGAGTAGTAGGAGTATTGAATAGTGGCCATTGGTTTTTGCAGTTGGTAGGTCATTAGAGAGTTTTAGTAGGGCAGTTTCAGTGGAGTGTAGAGGGCAAAAGCCAGACTGTAAAGGGTCGAGAAGGTTGTTGTCAGTGAGGTGGAAGCTCAGATTATTGTAGACTAAGCATTCTAGGGGTTTAGACGTAAATGGCAGCAGGGAGATGGGTCTTAGCTTGTTCAGGTTGGTGGGGTCTAGGGAAGGTTTTTTTTTTAAGTATGTGCGCATGCTTTAGAGGGGAGGGGAAGGCAACTGAAGAGAGGGAAAGATTGAAGATGTGAGTGAGGGAGCATAGGATTGGAGGAGGAGGGTGACCGAAGGAGTTGTGAGGTGACAGGGTCCAGGGGGCAGGTGGTGAGGCGGACTTTTGAGAAGACCTTGAGGACCTCTTCGGTGGTAGCGAGGTCAAAGGAGGAGAGTTTTGAGGGAGGTATGGTATGAGGAATGCTAAGTGGGGTGGGTGTCTGTGTAGTGGCGATGTCCCTACGAATTGCGTCAATCTTGTTTTGGAAGTGGTTTGCAATCTCGTGGACAGTCAGTAAGGCGCTGGGTGGCGGTGGGGGCGGAGACAGTAGAGAGTTGAAGGTAGAGAAGAGCCAAGAGGACTCGAAGAGAAGGTATTGATGAGAGTGACAAAGTAGGCTTGTTTGGCAGCGTGAAGGCAGGAAGTGTATGTTAAAGGTTATACAGTTAGGATTATATCAGACAATGGCCTATGCCATTCACAAGGGAGAGACAAGGAGCTTGGCAACAGCACTGGAGGCCTCACACATTATTCGGTGGGCAGCAGTTCACATGCTGGCTCCTTCCACCGTTTACATTCCGGGCGTAGATAACTGGCAGGTAGACGTCCTCACTCATCAGGCGTTGGATCAAGGAAAATGGTCTCTGCACCTGGACATGTTTCCTAGATTCTGTCTGTGGTGGGGCATACTGGACATGGGTTAGTATGTCTGTCCAATACAACCTCCTTTTCGAGGGCGGACTCTTTTTTTGGTGATGACAGTCCTAGAAATGGCCTGGCAGCTTCCTCTGCCACTATTTTTTTTTTAATTATTATTTTTCGATAGATTGGCCAGACGGTTGTCATGATTTGACATTATGCCTTTGAAGGGTTGGGTTCCTCCCTTTTCCTGTTATGGCATTCTCTATCAGGGTGATTAGTGCCTCTTGGTTGTCCTGACCTCAAGCGTCTGTGTCTCAAGTTTGTATGGCAACTACTTGGTCGTCTGTGCATACCATTACCAAGGTTTCCACAGTTGCTGTTTTGGCATTTTTGGCTGCATGTTTTGACCGCAAGTTTTTGTGGGCAGCTGTTTGAGGTTCTTAGTTTTTGGATGATCTTACATGTTCTTTAGTTCTCCACCCCTTTATTGAGGCACTGCTTGGTGCTTACCTACAGTCAAGTTTATGAAAGAGTTGTGTCTGTCAATGAACATAAGAGAAAACTGGATATTTTGTTACGCACTGTAAAATTTCTTTCTCTGATTTAGTTGACAGCACTCTTTGTTTTTTTTCTCTTGTACTGCCTGGAGATGAACTGAGCTGCTTATGGCAGAGAAGGGGTTTGCTACCAGCTAGGTCTGCCCATAGGAAGTGCTGTGTTCCTTTTTTTTTTTTCTTAATCTAGTGTCCCACTATTGAAGGTGGTGCTATAACCCTATGGTCAAGATTATGGAAGAACTGTGTCAGTCAATGAACTCCGAGAAAGGTTGTTCGATAACAATAAAATCCAGTTTTTCCCCATTCATGAACTAACTGAATGGACAATTTATGACAAATTGGCTTCTCCTGAGAAGGTTTTCACCCCTCAAATAATTATTACTGAGCTACAGTATATCTATTAAAAAGTAGTCTGTTCTGGTAGTAGATCCTGCTGTCCACAAGCATCTGTGGTTTTAACCAAACATTGTTCTGCGCCTATAGGAAATGACTATTTGTTTAAGGATTCTGCTGATGGAAAATTTGAGATGCTCTTAAAGGCATTCTTTACTCTTGAAGCTGCAGCCCTGTAACCAGCTATTGCTGCAATTTCAGTTTGTCAAACCGCAGCTAATTGGACTAGGGTGATGAACGCTCAACTGGATCCTGTCTTTCATGATCAAACACTGTCTTCTGCCCTAATTGTTTGTGATGATATCCTAGAGCAGGCCATGAAACAAATTTCCAGAACTCCTCATTTCTGTACATATGCACAGAATCTTATGGCTGAAAGAATATTCAGCTGAAGCTGTTTGTAAAAGATGCCTCACTCATATGCCCTTTGAAGGAGGATGTCTCTTTGGTGAGGCATTTGACAAGTTCTTAAAGGATGTCACTTGAGGAAAGAATCCTCCTTCCACAGTAAAGTCTCCAAAACCTCCTCTTCAGGGCTTTTATCTACTCAAAATACATATCACCCAACCATTCTCATCAAAGCCAAAATTCAGCTCTTCTTTTCGGTGCAAAACTTGGAACACAAAGCCCACCAAGTCTAATCCCAAGCCTCCTTCACAATGAGGGGGTGCTCACACATAAGAGTAGGGGGTTGTCTGGTATAGTTTACATTCCTCTGGGTGACAGCCATCCCAGACTTATGGGTTCAATCAGTGGGGTAAAAGGAGTAAACAATAGAGTTCCAACACTACACTTCTTTTTTCAAGCCAACCAAAATCTGCCCAAGGACAGTCAATCCAGTCTGCTCTGAAGGAGATTACAATCTAAGGTCCCCAACTCTCACATTCATACATACAAATACTAGGGCCAATTTAGACAGGAGCCAATTAACCTACCAGCCTGTCTTCAGACTGTGGCCTCTAGGCAGCAAGTGGTTAAACAAAAACATATTCTAAGCCTGTTGTGTTACCAGATCACCAGGTGAAAACAAAGAAAAAAGTCTAAAAAATTAAAACAAATGCAGCCACAATATCTAATGATTGGTAAGCTGCAATATATTAAATTTTTTGTTTTAATACCACCTTAAAGTTTCTAGTATTCAGACTTTATGTTGGGTAGAGACAAACATCCTGTGAATCAAGACAGATGTTTGCTTATCCCTAAAAGTGATCGGAATGAGGATTACACTTTGTTGACCTTTTTATAAATAAAAAAAATTTAGAGGTTCGTATTTTTGGTAATTACTTCTGGCTTGATAAAGTATTTATTGCAATCCAAGACATCACCTCTGTATCCTGCTGATGGAGTGATTTTAGCAGCCATATATCTTTCAGGTTTTTAAGGTTTTAAAGAAGAACACATCAATATGGGAAGTACTTGATATTGCACATCTTTCTTTGTCAGTTGGAATTTTCTTGAAGTAATTAAGTAACTATGTTAAATTGCCAGACCAAATTCCATAAACATGATGGATCATGCTAAAGTAAAGGAACAATCCAGTGCAAAATCATTATCAGTTTGAATCTTCCACCTTTTGAGATTTTTTTTAAATGCTGTTATCTATATAATTGTGTGTAAAACATTGTTTTATGTTATGTAGATATTCCAGTTCTGTCAGAGAGTATGGATGTTGTGATTTCTGATATCCCATTTGGAAAAAAATTTAAATGTTTTAAAGATATAAAAGAACTTCTGCCTGACATCATCAGAGAAATGGAAAGGTATGTACTATTTCAAAACTGATCTACAGTGAGTTAAAGAAAAGTTCTGAGAACTATCTTGCCCGGCATTCATACTGTCATACTACACAAGCATTTCTACATTCGTTATTGATCCATATAATTAATGTTTAGAACAAAGGAAGAAGTGAGCGCTTTAAACGGACAAGCAGCTGAAACACATAGGAACAACCAAAAAAAATTCCTCACATGAATATAATTATAAAGTGCAGCGCTAAAATTGTGATTTGAAAATAAAAAAGGGGGAAAGGCAAAAAACAGGAAAATTAAGTCCCAATGTAAAAAAAGGTCCCAGTAAAGATGACTTCAGGTGGCCGTGCACACTGGCCAGAGGTGCATGCAATGTGGCAGAGATAGAGTCTAAGATGTAGTCAGGGAACAGAGGTAGATACAATCCCTGGATCAGTGAAGATCCTCAGACCAAAGCAGCACACGTTCCACTAGACAGCAAGGAAGAAATCACAGCTCCACCGGAGAAAACCACCACTCCTCCACTCCACATCAGCGGTATCTAGGAGGAGATACTCCCCACAAAGGAATCAAGAAAAATGCCCATGGTGAGGTATAATCGAATAGGTTTAATAAGTATAAGACAGGATGCATCCAGTAGCAATCAAGTAAAACAGTACACAGCTAGCAAAGCAAAAGGCTAGCAACAAAGCAAACAGGACTAACCGTCCTGTCAGATGTAGTGGCCGCCGGAGCTCCACAATGCTCCGACGGCGTGGCGTCAAGGCGTGCGCAGGTTCCTCCTTACGCGTTACGTGCCAAGCACATCCTCAGAGAAAAGAACCGGTGTACGCCGTGACGTGCAGGTCGGAGCTAAATAGATCAAAAGGCGCATGCGCAATAGCCAGGCGCCATTTTGTCGTAGCTCTAAAAAGGTCTGCATGTCCATCCGAGACTACCAGAGAGACAGCAGACGATACAGCAGTTAAAACAGGTGTACAAATATTATTAAGAAAAGTCATACATGAACAGATAATAATAATGAGTAATAGAACCATACAAAAGGGGGAAAATTAAAACTGCAAATATGGGCAATATCATGATTATTTAGAAATCTAAGCTAGATCGCAAGGCGCGTGCGCCCTAGCCAAATGCCAATTAGTCACAGTTCCATAAAAAAACACAACAGAGGACACAGTCTACACGCTCATACTAAATTAACAGGAGAGCAAGCGACCATACCTCAATTATGGAATACATGCAAAAAATTCTCCATACCTCAAAAAAAGGTCATTCATAGTGGAGAAAGAAGGTTTAGGGATAAAAAGTAGATAATCATGACATGGGCCAGTAAATACATATACCACAGCAATATTAATCATGTGATAGCAATAACCACGTAAAGATGTATTAAAGCAAAAATCAAGAAATTAAAATACATAAAAATTGAGTAAAAAATGAAAAAATTAATCACTGTAAATTCAACTATTGTCTATAAAACAATTTACGTCAAGTTCGACGTTAAGGCCCCGTGGGTATAAAGTATCCAGTTGACAAATGTACCAAGTCTCTAACTGTGAGACAGCTCGGGTTTTGTGAGTGCCCCTCCAATGTGGAACAACAATATCAATTCCAATGAATCTCAGAAGGGAAGGGTCTCTCTCCCATGATGACGTCTGAAATGTAATGAGAGGGAATGATCTTTAAAGCCCTTTCTAATATTATTTATATGCTCTCTGAGCCGATCACGTAACCTTCTCGTGGTGCGGCCTACATACTGCTTGGAGCAGGGGCATTCAAGTAAGTAGACTACATGTTTGCTGTTACAACATATAAACTTGTCTATGTCATATGTGTTGTTATTAGAACTGGAACGGAAAGTGGTAATTTTCCTTTTTCTATTACCATCTACTTTACAAGCTATGCATTTATTGCACGGATAGAAACCTTTATAATTAAATAAGGCCAGAGGTTTAGCAGGAGGATTAATCACATTAGGAGATATAATATCTCTCAAAGTAGATGGCTTACGAAAAATAACCTCTGGTGAGTAAGGTAAGATTTTGTTTAAAATGGGATCAGCTCTCAAAATTTGCCAATTCTTTTTAATGATATGACGGATAGATCTATGTTGAATAGAAAAGGTGGTAATAAAGGGGCAAACTAGATTCTTAGGGGGTTTGGGGTTAGATGTAAGAAGTTGTTCCCTTCCCATATTTGCGACCATACTAATGGTGCCATCAAGCGTAGATGTATTATAGCCTTTTTCAATGAATCTATCCTTCAAAATTGAAGCTTGTGTATGGTAATCCTTTAGATCGGTACAATTCCTCCTGATCCTCTGAAACTGGCTTTTAGGGATGTTAGAAAGCCAGTTAGGATGGTGGCAGCTGTCAAGAGGAATGTAGCTGTTACGATCGGAAGGTTTGAAGTAAGATTTGGTAACAATCCTACCACCAACGTTCATAAGAACTAAATCCAAGTAATTGACTTCCACCATACTATAGGTGTATGTCAAATTAATATTGCTAAGTGTTGTAATTGAGCGTTCCAAAAAAGTTAATAAGAGACTGCTCACTGCCATTCCATAACAAAAGTACGTCATCAATATACCTCTTGTAGAAGGATAATTCAGGCCACTCCCTAGCATAAATGACCTCCTCCTCCTCCCAGTATGACATAAAGAGGTTGGCGAGGCTGGGGGCAAACTTAGCCCCCATAGCCACGCCTTTAATCTGCAGGTAGAAATTGCCATCGAACCACATATAGTTCTTTTTCATCGCAAAATCCAATAGTTCAAGGATAAAACACATATGTGGTGCGGTTAGAGAGCTGTGATTTTTTAGATAATACTCAACTGCCTGCAAACCTTCATGGTGGCTAATACTACTATATAGAGCTTCCACATCTGCAGTAACTAAGTAGGTAGTGGTGTTGGTGGCAACATCTTGTATAGCATTTAATACTTGCTTGGTATCCTTTAAATAGGATGGTGTAAGAGCAACTAGTGGCTGAAGATAATAATCTATATAAGCTCCAATCTTGGAGCAAAGGGAATTGATCCCGCTTACAATAGGCCTACCCGGAGGGTGCACAGCGTCCTTATGCACCTTGGGTAAAATATACATAATGGGTAATCTGGGTACTTTAGGACACAAGAAAACCTTTTCTTTCTGATTAATTAACTTATTGTCAAACCCAGAACTGATAATACTCTTGAGGGATTTCTTGTATTTCAAAATAGGGTTATTATTCAAAGGTAGGTATGTGGTGGTGTCATTCAAAATTTTGTAAACCTCATCAACGTAATATTGCTTATCAAGGATCACTACACCCCCACCTTTATCCTGCCGGGCGGATAACCAAATCTTTCTTCTCCAAAAGAGAACTCATAGCTTTTCTAGTTGAATAGTCAGTGTGACATTTTTTAACGGGAAGACTATTTAAATCCCTTATAACCTGCTCACGGAAAAGACCCACTGCAGAATTGACTTGAGGAGGAGGATTGAAGGTGGAAGCATTGCTCAAATTAGAGTAACTGGATTTAACAGGCTCCTTACTAATAGGGTTGGAGAGGAAATATCTCTTGATGGATAATTTCCTTGAGAATTTGTGAACATCTATGAAAGCTCAAATTTTCAAGTCACAATTTTAGCGCTGCACTTTATAATTATATAATTAATGTTGTTTTTTATTCTGATAACTAAGCCAAAGGAGTGGAAACCATTTTTCTGCTGATATTAAGTAGGTACACTTAAGAATATTCTTACGTGGATACATAGTTTTATGTAATAAATGTGTATTATTAAAAATAAGCTTACCATTTTTGTTTACCTTTCGGATAGTAGCTAAATGCAAAATATTTCTGTTAAGTTTTCAGGACTAATCAATACTACAGAAGAAATCTGTTATGACTAATGAATATCTGATTTCCTCTGGTCTCCCTAAGCTAACACAAACACAACACAGCTAGAGCTCCCCATTATAACAGAAGAATTCCTGGCCACTATAAAAACTTTAAAACATAGCCAAGCAGCTGACTCAAAGTCTTGTTGTGCCCCTAAACCCAAATTTTCCAAAGCATTCAATTCTGTCCATGAACAACATGATTTCCCAGTTGATGCATTCCAAGCATAATTAACAGTTTTCCCAAAGAGGCTAAATATTCAGGTTTTTGCACTAGCCATAGACCAGATTCCTTTCTAAATACATATATCTTAAAATAATCTAAAAAATAAAGCCTCCCCTAGCAAGCCAGCCACATTCTATTCCCCATTATCAGTGGGGATATATATAGCACCAGTAGGCAGAAGAATAGAGCCCCATCTTTGGTATTCATGGGAGAAATATTGCTGGTATCGATTGGAAGAATAGTACCCTACCTTTGGTGTCAGTGGGAGGTAGAGTGCGGCATCCCTGGTGTCAGTGAATAGTTCCTCTTTACATTGTGGGAGTAATAGTAACCCATTGTTCATGTCAGTGGGAGAAATGGTGCCCCAGTGTTGGTGTCAGTGGAAAGAATAATGCATCGTTGGTGTCGGTGGAAAGAAAAATAGCTCACTGTTGGTGTCAGTGAAAGGAATAATGCCCCATTGTTGGTGCTAATGGAAAGAATAGTGCAACATCGTTGGTGTCAGTGGAAGGAATTGTGGCTCATTGTGGGTGCCAGTGGAAGAACTAGTGCCCCATTGTTTGTGTCAGTGGGAGGAATAGTTCCCCAAGGGCCAAATAAAAGTAAGCCAAGGGTCGCAGTTTGGAGACTAAGAAAAAATCATATGCCACTGACTGATCACCATTTACTGTTATCCCATAGCAGCACTTTGGATCAATGTACCTCAGACCCTGTTCCCATTAAACATTAGAACCCATCAGGGTTGTCCCCTGCTCCTTTTAATCATCTTCAGAAGCATTGCTCAGAAAAATCCTAACATAGCAGACAACTCTACCAATTTTGCCTAGTATTACGTAGCTGCATATATTTTCTACTTTGCTACCTAAAACAACACTTTTCAACCTCCTAGAAAA